TGAGGTCTGAAGTTCGAGACTAGCCTGACCAACATGGAGAAACCCCGTCTCTACTAAAAATACACGATTAGCTGGGTGTGGTGGTGACTGCCTGTAATCCCAGCTACTTAGGAGCCTGAGGCAAGAGAATGGCTTGAACCTGGGAGGCAGACGTTGCAGTGAGCCAAGATCACAACACTGCACTCCAGCCTGGGCAACAAGAGTGAACCTCCGACTCAAAAAAAAAAAAAAAAAAAAAAAAAAAAAAAAAAAAAAAAAAAAAAAAAAAAAAAAAAAAAAAAAAAAAAAAAAAGTAAAACATTCAACTGAAAAAGGGTTAACAGCATGGGTTTCTCACATTATTCTTACTGGGTGTGGTGGCTCACATCTGCACTTGGGAGGCCAAGGCAGGAGGACTGCATGAGGTCAGGAGTTGGACATCAGCCTGGACAACACAGTGTAACCTTGTCACTACAAAAAAACAAATTAACTGGGAGTGGTGGTGCATGCCTGCAGTCCCAGCTACTCAGGAGGCTGTGGCAAAAGGATCACTTGAACTTAAGAGTTCAAGGCTACAGTGAGCTACAATCCAAGCCACTACACTTTAGCTTGGGCAACAAAAGCAAGATCCTCTCAAAAGAAAGAAAACCTAGAGTATTGTCTTTTAGGCATGGAAAAATTTTAAGATCCTAAGCACTTCTCTCTCTTTCTTCCTATCTCCACTGTTACATAAAACCATTATGTGGTAGGCTCACGCTTAATCTGAGGGGCTTCAGGGGATGGAATGATTATCGAGTGGAAGTTGTAGAGAGGCAGATTTCCACCTGCCTCAATGTAGGGAAGAACTAATAGGACTGCAAGATAATATGACCTGTTAGATGAGGTAGTAAGTGGCAGGTGAACATTTACTGCATGAGTTCAAGCAGAGGCTAGATAAAGTACAGAGTATTTGTTTCTAACATTCCTTCTGCTCTACAACTATTGATCTTAGTTAACAGAGACACATACATGTTGGTGAGATATGACGAAGTCAGCTGGACATCACCTCATCAAAGTGTTCACATGGCTGGCATGCATTAAATATCTTCAGAAAAACCAAAGTTATAATTTTTCTAAAAGTGACTTTACTATGCAACATCAGCCCATGGTGAGACTCCCTACAGTAATATGTAAATCTAAAGACCTTGAGGACCGATAACAAAAACTAAAGAACTGGGACCCAAATTAGGATTGTGATTGAATAACCATCATGCACAAAGCAACAGTGCATAGTATCATTTACATGTTTGCAAGCTCCAAAGAGATCAGGGATAAAAGTTACCAGAGTTTGAGCCACTGTGATCAATGGAACGGAATAACACCAATGGAAAGAACAATGGGAGAGTGCCTAGCCAGGAGGATCACTTGAGCCTAAGAGGCGAAGGCTGCAGTGAGTGGAGATCACTGCACTCCAGCCTGGGTGACAGAGTGAGACCCTATCTCCAAAAAAAAAAAAAGAGTGCCCAACAAAGAAATAGGGGGATATCAATGCTTTCAGGATCAAATAAGAGGAGTGTTATCTCAAGGAAACTAGTCATTAATAATGCTAAATGCTGCAGAGTGGGGTGTGGATTTAACGATTAGTCACTAGGGGCCTTTTGAAGGGTAGTTTTACTAAAATATTGAAGACAGAATCTAGACTGCTATGGGTTGGACAGTGCATGGAATGCCCACATAATCTTAAGTGGTTATGTTTTCCTCAGAGTTATATCTCTTTCCTGATTATATTTGACATTCCTGATGGGACAGGATCTCATTAAAGAGGAAAAATAGAACCTTTTCTACATCCCTTATAATCAAACTACTTCTGATTAATATTAGCCTTAATATTATGGGAAAACTGTTGAACAATTTAGACCAATGTTGAACTTGTGTTTTAAATAGAAATTTTCTGACTAAAGAGTTGTGCTCAGCACTCAATTTGAACGTTTGGGATGTACTTAATGAATCTACTGTTGCACCTGAGTGGGCAACACAACGACTACAAGAAGGTCCTCAATTAGGGCTTACATTGGGAAATCAATGTGTCTGAAACAATGACATAAAGGTTTATTATTCAGTTTGATGGTCTTTAGTCTTTGGAGCTTATTGGGGGCTTGATGAAAAGCATTTTTCAGGTCAGCTATTTTGACTCACAAACCTAGCATTTTCAAGCTATGCCCAAGATGACTGACAAATCTTATTTATTGACCCTTTTTCATGAATGTAAATATTAATCAAAGATACCCAACTTTTGAAAGGCTACAGAAAGTCCATATGTTAGTGCTCAAGGTTGAAGCATGATTCCAAGTGAAAGGCTCTTTTAACATAATATGGCAACAACAGGGTCTAAATTAGCCAATTATTTATCAGCAAGTGAAAGTCTCCTCTCATAAAGTTCTGGTTATTTCTGAGTAAGATGTATTATTTATTTCTTACATCTAGGAACAGGGTGTCGAGGAGGGGGAATACTGAGATATGGTGTAACTAAATTCCTATTAAGATCTTACTGTTTAATTCAAGCTGAAATGGTAAGGTAATTTATCCTTTGCAGCTAAAATTTTGCCATTAAAATCTCTGCAACTCAAGATTTGTAACTCTGGAAAGGAATAATTCGTTGATGTTAGGAAGGCAAATCATTCTTCAGTGTATGTATTACAGGGACAAGGTGTGGGGGAAGGGGAACCTATAGATCGGGGGTCAGCAAACTGTGGCTTGCTGCCTAATTTTGTAAATAAACATTACAATACAGCCTTACAATCCACTTCCATATTGTCTATGGCTGCTTTCGTGCCACAACAGCAGAGTTAAATAGTTGTCATAGAAACCTTATGGCTCACCAAACCAAAAAGTATCTGGTCCCTTACAGAAAGTTTGGTAATTCCTACATACATCAAATAATTCTAAAAAGCAAAATACATCACATATTTGATAAGCAATAGAAATATATCCAGAATGATATATTCCAAACAGTGAGACAATTGGAAATTTAAACACTTATTTAACATTTGATACATTAGGAGATTAATTTTGGATGGTGTAAATATGCTATGCTTCTTTAAATTAAAAAAACACATTAAGGCCGGGTGTGGTGGCTCACGCCTGTAATCCTACCACTTTGGGAGGCCGAGGCGGGAGGATCACTTGAGGTCAGGAGTTCAAGACCTGCCTGGCCAACATGGTGAAACCCCGTCTCTACTAAAAATAAAAAATTAGCCGGGCATGGTGGTGCACGCATATAATCCCAGCTACTCAGGAGGCTGAGACAGGAGAATCGCTTGAATCTGCGAAGTGGAGGTTGCAGTGAGCAGAGATCGTGCCATTGCACTCCAGCCTGGGGGACAAGAGCAAAACTCCATCTCCAAAACAAAACAAAACAAAACAAAAACACATTAAAATTTAATACAGAAAAAAAAAAAACTAAATACAGATACTTAGGCTATCACTTTCCTTGCAAATACTTACAGACACTTATGATTTCATCCTGTAAGGTGATTTTTCTCTACTCCCCTGAAAAAAAGTGTGAAATGAACATTAAGTACCTGCAATTTTAGTGAACTGCCTTATTGGGCAGGAAAGCTCTTTAAACACTCTCCATTATCTACACCCCTAAAATGGTAGGTAGACTGTATTGTGTCACTTTCCCTGAGTACACACCAAGTCTTCTAAGAAGAGCTTTTCTAGTTCTACACTTATCCAATATCGCTGACAGAAACAAGAAGCACTTAATATATTCTTATCCTAGAAAAAGATGTAACTGTCCAACATTAACATCTTTCTATGCTTGCCAATTAATATCAAAGTTAAGCACATGCCAAAATTAACATCTTTTTCCCAAAAGGATGTAGTGCATTTTTAAGGTGAAAGTATTATTTCCCCTTTTATTATGTTGAAGGGGGACAATGTAAAGTGCTGTCTGTATGCATTCTTAATCTGCACTATTTTATATTAATCTTTATCCTGCTACCTGTCACCCCTCCCACACACTCCTGCTTGTAAAAAGACCTGATACAAGGCCGGGGGCTTGAAACCTGGGAGGCAGAGGTTGCGGTGAACCGAGATCACACCATTGCACTGCAGCCTGGGCAACAAGAGCAAAACTCTACATAAAAAAAAAAAAAAAAAAAAAAAAAAAAAAAAAAAAAAAGCTGATACAAAGGGCCTTTTTGGTAAAATTTCCTATTTGTCTAATTTTTCACGTTTCCCCATCCCAACTGACTTGCAGTACAGTAATAATTGAGACCGTTATATACCCTATGGTCTCATTATCCATCAAAGGGCCTAGCCATTTTCTCACAAGTGGGTATTCAATGTGTATCTGTGGAATGCATGTATGACCAAAGAGGAAGAGTCCACAGAATGAAATAGGAGCTCACATTTGAGTGTGGTACAAGTCACCAGGAGCAATGAAAGACCAGCACAGACCAGGGTGCCAGAGAGTCAGCCACCTTCAAAAGGCAAATAATACAGGATAAAAACCTAGAATGAATCCTGGCTCTAAAACACTGCCTTCAGTCTAATGTGAGATTTTAGTAAAAACATCTTTATGCCTATGAAATAATTAAGCCTATTATTTTTAGGCAAATATACGACTACCAAAACCGTACCTACATATGTAAAATTTTAGACTTCGCCTTAGGTAAAGTCTTAAAATACTTTCTTCAAATTTCCTATTCTGGGATGCTGATTCAATTTCTCCATTTCCTATTATTTGGAATGGGCACGTTTTATTAATAATTTAGGTGACAACTACTTGAAAAACTAGTGTGGCAAGATCTGCTTCAAAGAATTATCCATGTCTGTACATAAATGCCACCATTCCAGTTTAGAAATCCAGATGCCACAAATATCCAAGGAGATTACTTGAAAACAGGGGACAGGTGGACAGAGATACTAGCTTCACATTACCTTTTACATGAATACATCTTTCATATGGCAAAACATAAATGCCAAAACTCAGTATCTCTTCACAAAAATCGTATTGGCAACTAAAACATCAGGTTATTTTAAAATATCTTTATTGATGTATCGTTGCACTCTACATCAACACTCCAACAGGGCTTTTCTTCTAGTTTTTTCAAATATAGACTGAATGTTACACATTTAAATGTTAGTGGTGTATATGCCAGACATTTTAAAACAAATACTTGGCGGCAAATGGCTAATAATTCTCACTAAATATTCTGTTATGGAAAGTTTAAGTAAAAAAAATAATAATCACAAAGTCCACTTTTGCATTGAGATCTCTATAGTAATATTTGCACTAGGTTGATGTGGTCGTTACATCTTGCAGTAAAACATCATTAGGGTATGTATCCAGGGAAAGGATCCCAAAGGCTCAGTGTAACACCATGTATCATATGCTTGGCAATGTCAAATAACTAAATGAAACTGACTTGACAGCTATATGCATATGATAGTAACATGAAAAATCCAAGTTGCTAGTGCCTTTAGTAACTCACTTAGTAAACACTTTTGAGCAGAAGCTATGTGCCAAATACTATTTGAGTGTACTTTGGAATCTTCTGATCTCAAACTTTTCCCTAATCTCAAATATTTATTGAATGAGTTTGGTACAGGAAAAATACTGAAATGGAAGTTCAGGAGTCCCCTGGGTCCTAAAACTGACTGGAGTCACTGTAGCAGCCTCTCTGGGTATGCTTCATTAGTCTCTTACAACCTCTCTCATTCTAAGTAATTCTACAGTAATCTTGAAACCATTTTACGTATTATCTCACCAACTGTTAGGGCCTGTGCTAAGACTGTCTCGTTTAGCTTCCACAAAGATTCTAACACATACCTAATTAAACTTGGAAGATTACCTTTTTCTTATTGCCAAATTTAAGAGTGGTCGTGGTGGGGAAAAAAATGATCTGGCTGACAGTTAAGAAGGCAGTATTAATAGCAGGTAAGGTGCCATGCAGTTATCCAATCTGTAATATTTTTCACTCACTTTATAATTAGCTGAATAGATTTCCTAAAGTTCACTTTCTTTAAACTTCAGAAAGACAGTTATGTCACAGCCTAAACTCTGAAGTACCTTTAATTTTCTTACCTAAACATTGATCCAATAATTCCATTTCCTACACCTGTTCCCAAACAATGGTCTGTGGTTATTTGTGGTGAAAAAGTAGCTCAGGTAGTGATTTTTTCTGTTAAGTTAAACTTGGTATCTAAATTCTTGATTTCCTAAATTATGTCCTTTTTAGTGTCAAAACATCCTTCATCTAGTACTTATAAATACAAAATTTTATCATCTTAGAATTTTGATGACTAAGCAAAACAAAAAGTAACTACAAGGGTCCCAAGACCTAAAGAACTAAACACAAACCCAACTCTAAAATAGAAATGTTTGGTCAATACTGCCGTAGCCAAAACGATTAAGTAATCTCTTTCACTTTATGTAGAGTGGTAGACCATTTTCTGAAGCAGCTCCATTTCATCTTTGGATAATTAAAAACCAGTTTTAAATCTTGAGCCAATGGTCCCAATCATGACCTCTTAGAAACACAGAGTAAGTACTCTTACTTATTCATGCCTCATGACAGCTCTTCCCATGTTTAAAGATACTAGGCATTATAATGCTGTGTGGGCTCCCTTTATTGTGCCCTTCTCCAAACAAAATCAAAGAACTCCTATTTTTCTAAGTCAAGTCTGAATATCTGGCCACTTCTAATTTCCTTTGCTCTAACTTTGAAATAACCTAAAAAGCTATGTTTTCTCTTCATTAATAAAGTTTCAAAGACTTTATAACATCACAGAATTACTTGTAGTCAATCAGTCCACAAATATACAACACGGGATGAAGCAGTTTACCTATGCTTTTCAACCCATTTCCAAGATTATGCACAAATGTAAATTACAGAGGAATTTTTTTGTATTTCCTAAAACTTGTAGAGAATCTTAAAAGATACTGACTACAAATCACCACCATTAATTAAAGCAGGAATACTTGGAGGTAGTTTGTCATTTACATTATTTTCATATAAAAACATACAAATAAACAAAAAAAACCCTTATTCTATAATTCAAACTTGTAAGCCTGAAGTACAAGGATATCTGAATTATACGTAAGTCAAAGTTCAAGGTGTTCCCCTTACCCCAGTTAGTCTAAATTAGTACACTTGCAAAGAAGTCTGAATTAAATGTCAGTCAATAAAATTCACAAAGCCAGAAGCAGTTTAGTGCTCACAAGTTTATATTTTTAGGTTTGATAAAGATTCCTGTGTATTTTCTAAATACACAAACAAAACAGTTTCGGAAGTTTACATACATGTCTTAGGACACTTATATTAGGTAGGTAATTTACATTTTAAAAAGTTGGTCTTCGTAAAAGATCTTCCCAAAGAGCTTTTACAACAGCAGGCAGAAGTGTTCTTTTATGTTTACAGTGTTCAAAATGCTGATTCTCGCACTACATAATGGCCTCAACCATTGCTCTCAACCCAAAATACTGTTCTCAATAGCTAGTGTACTTCAAATTTAAGTACCCAATGTCATAAAATTCAGGGCTAGAAAACGTCTTTTGAAGTGTGCTTATCCCTAACACATTTTAAACTACCTAGGATTCTTCAACTTCAGTTGAAAGCAGGGATACAGCAGGGAAAAAAAAAAAAAAACTTTCCATTTTAAGTCCTAAAGTGACTAAACACCTGTTAGTTCTAAGTGTGGAAATTATGTACCGTAGTTAAGTTTAAGGATCTGGGTGACTGAACGGCACAAAAACTGGGGTTTATATCTAGTTTCTTCAGATAAAAAAACCATCCTTTTATAAAATTAAAATACCACAGCCGGTTAAGAGCATGTGCTACACTGATGTGTCTTAATATAGTCAAAGTGACAAAACAACTGCTTTATGAGGAAAGAGTAGTAGTAAGGAAATTTGTTGGGGGGAGGAAAAAGACACTCAAAATTCTAAACACAGCTGTCTTATAGGAAATATATAAATCCATAGACAGACTCCTTTAAAAGCTGAAATTCTACAAGAGTTGTTTATGAGGCAGCAATAGAGCCTCCTTGAAAGAGTACGGGCTTCAGAATCAAACATGGATCGCTTCTCAGCCTTTTGGCTAAGATCAAGTGCAGAATCACACATGGTCAAATCCCAGCTCTATCACAGCTATGTTAAATTAACCAAGTTTCTGAATTTCTGAGTCTTTCCTCTATAAAATGGAGACAATTAGCACCTACCTTACAGAAAGTTAAGGTAAAATCATGTATACAGCACAACGGCAACTGTGGCACTCAAAAAAAAAAAAAGACTGGTAATTTTTTGGGTCATTTTACAGAAAAATGAATCTAAACCCTTCATGCTATGTTCAGAAAATCCTAAAAAAAAAAGAAATAAATAATGCTTAAGTTTCAAAATTTAAGATTTTTAAAAACCTATTTTCCATCACACATTCCCCCATGAGATACTACTCCAGTCATATTCAGGCCGTTTATACCATTTTCTGTTCATATAAATGCCCAAGTCCCAATCCTTTCATTTCCCATTTTCTCCTTCCTTTCCCCCCTTTTTTTATCATTTATTTTTCCTCTTGGTTCTTATTATTAAACAACTTTAAGATGTGTTATGTACCTATTATGTACCAGTGTTCTAAGCACTTTACATGAATTAACTCATTTAGCTCACTCTTCTCCATTATTAGGATGGCTCTGACTAATCCAGCTAGTGTTTTCCCCCAATTTCAGAGCTACTCATTACTGCTCAGTTTACCCTTCCTATAATGTTTCATTTTAAAACTCTTAATTTCTAGTGTGCTAAATTTAGCAAAATATCTAGTAAATAACAAGAATGAACAGGGTTCCATACGGAGGTATCCTTCTCTGAGAACTCTAAGAAATAATGCACGATCTTGATTTATAAGATAGTCTGTAACTACAGTTAATATGAAAGAAAGTTTTATACTCTTCTCCTTCATTAAAATTAAAAGCTCTAAAATACTTTCATTTAAAATATAAATTACAAGAGACAACTTCGCCAAATGTTAACATAATTCTGCCAGAGATCCACAGACAAAATTATGAGTATTCCATTGTTACCTCTGAGACCAATCTTAAGTTCTTGTTATCTATCAACTTCCTGAAATTGTACTGTAAGTCAGAAAAAGAATATATTTAAAAAAATAGAAATGTCCAGTAGTATACCTTAGTACTAAAACTATTTTTTAAAAAGATCTAGATGGGAAAAGGCAGTCCCTCAAGATCATGAAACAAAATAAGTTAGGCAGTCAGCAAGTAGAAAAATCTGTCAATTCTGTTTCTGGTAAAATGTTTACTTCAAAGAAATTTAATAGGCTGAGGCTAATATATTCAAGAGTATAAACACTTTTCCTTTGGATTACCTAAAAAACAAACTTTTAAAGTATCATATTTCAATTGACTGAAAATATAGCCAAATCTGTCACAACACAACATAAAAGGTAATGGACAATTATAGAATATTTTAAATTAACAGTAACAAGCCATCTACATCAAATCTTATTTCCAACTAAAACCAAACAAAAGCACAACAATCCCGTAGTGTACCAAGTGTGTATTTCAATTTACTGTATGCAATCTAACAAAAATTTGGTCATAATTTACCAGATATACATAAATGATTTAAGTAGTAAAAGAAATTCAGCTTCAAGAGAATAAGTTCATATTCTGAGGAAAAGTAAAAGTACATTAAGAATATAAAGCCAAGTCCAGTTTCTAATGCAATAAGTGAACTGTAGTCTAATAAAGCAGATTTAGGTGATTTTTAGATATATATCTTTTTCTTTAATATATATTTATATATAGACAGATCTACCAATTGTAAACTAGTTTATTTAAAGGAAGGGGATAAATGGGATGAAAGAAGTCTTTATACTATACTTACATATTCACAAAGAACATTTTACGTTTAAAATACTTTTTCATTCATAGTATCTTTGCCCAACTAATTTCTACCAGAAATACATTTTACTCATTTGTCTAGAACATTAAGATGTACTTATCCGTTTTAAACAAAAATCAAACCGAAACTATTTGTGTCAGGTTTACAGTTATGTAGAAACTACAATACAGATGACAAAAGCTGCATCTAACCATGTAACTGTAATTTATCTTTGATTTATCCAAGCAGAAACATCCTTGTCTAACAATAAACCATTATTCCACTGAAATCAGAGACAATGATAAAGCTTGTCTCTTAAAAAACATCAACTTTTCAACTTTGATCAGATGGAGCACCAAAGGGATTATATATCTGTCAAAGCATCTTTGCAATTTTTTTCCCACATAACTAGCATAATTTAGTTACCTGATATAAAATAGGAAAATATACTCAATTTTTATTTAAAAGAAAGCTGAAAATATGACATCCCTCAATCTTATATAATATACAATATGCTCATAATGTCATACATGTTAATATGTGAAATGCTGCTGAGAGTTCCACAATCAGCTAATTCATGTCACCAGGCTAAGTAAATCTGACAATTTCACCTCAATGTCACCCCTTTGTACCCTGAAGAATTTAGTTTAGAGAATAATAAAGCTTCTCAGTATTTTATTTGTATGATTTCTGAGACTGTTGAGACATGGTGACTACTATAGACTATATCAAGGTGAGTGACTTCAAGGAACAGAAAAGAATAAGTTATTGATCATAATTTCCAAACAATATCCCAGTAAGTATAAAACAGTAAGAGAATGCACATTTTGTGTTAATTTTAATGACAAAAAAGACACAGGGGTAAAAACCTGATATTTCACTCATATTGCATAACAAGCTAACCAAACTGGACATGGTGGATAAATTATAAAACAAATCATTTTAATTATTTCTATGATTTTTCTTTTAATTAGGCCTTTCAAATAGGGCTGAGGTATAGTACACTGGCAAAAATAAAGAGGCAAACAAGAATAGTGCCAAAGTAACAGATACCCAAAACCGAATACCATGTCAGAAAACATTATAGTAACCATTTATCAGATTAGAGCAGCAGAAGAAAGTTACTTCTAAATCATAATCATTTTAGTGGTATTTGTCAACTTCGCCACGGTAACTTCGTAACATCATTCTTCACTTGTGAAGTAGTAAAATTCATGTCAGAAAGGAAGGGGGGAAACGGAGGAAGTCAGTTAATTCATTCCAATAAATTACCTCTCCAGTTCTTATAAACATGCCCGTCAGCACAAAATTGAGAAATAATACCTAAGACTAGAAGAGACTTGGTTTAAGTTATGAAGCAAATTAAAATGGAAAAATACAAGAAAATAGAACCAATGGGGTTGAAAAAGCCCCACACTGAAAATCTGTATTAAAAAAAATAAAATTAATAAAAATAAAAATAGAAACAAAACTCTACTAGTACAAACTAGCCTGAGTGGTTTGATGGACAAAGTGATTGGGTCAATTGTCACTGTACTTCCATAAATGGATTTTCTCCACTCATGTTAAAGTAGCACATGATGTAAGCTCTTTAAGGATTATTTTCGTAGGACCCAAATAGTTACTGTATATCATATAAATAAAAAATATTTTACTTTGATAACTGACTGAGTATGTGGGGACTCCATGTAATCCAACCACATGGTTGTCTGCTGTATAGTCCTGTGCAAATATTTAAAAAAAAATTTTTTTTTTTGCTATAAGGCTTTGACCCTACAGTTTTCACAGCAACATAACTACTATCCAGCATGTACCATTATTTTGCAAGCCTTCAAGTTCAACAATCCAAATTGTCGATTCATATTAGGTCCAAATGCAGCATCCTTGAGGAGTAGAGTAGGTCACTTAATCATCTAGAGACATACAAACTTCTCCGGATTCATCCCATCGAGAGGGATCATTCTGCTCTTCTCCATCATCAACTAGCTCTTCATCAGCTTCTCCTACTTCATTCTCCTCGTATTCTTCATCCCGAGGGAATTCTGTATCCTGTCCCTGATCTACACCTTCTTGCCCTCCTGGTTGTGATTTATCTGCACAGTCTACACAAACACCGTAACGTCGAGATCCATGTCTTATTCCAACACTGGCTGCTAACATGAAGATCTTCTTACACACCATACATTTGTATTTTTTATCCTTTTTATGCACCTAATTGAAGGGGGGAAAAATCCAATATAAGGCTATTACATAAAATAGAATGCATTTGACCCACTCAAACCACACATTTAATGAGTAAATACCACTGTTTCTCTGTAAAAAGCTCATTATCAGTTCCTAAGTCAAGCTCTTTGTTTAAAGCAATTTAAGAGACAATTTTCCTTACATTCAAAATTAACTGTTTAAATCCCTTTAAACCTCACTGACATCAATATAGTTTATCTCAAAGATCAGCTGTATTTAAAGTTACTTACCAGGGAATGTCTTTTTACATGTTCTCTTCGAGTAAACAGTTTTCCACAAATATCACAGCTAAATGATCTCACTCCTGTGTGAATGAGCAAGTGCCTTTTTAGTGTTCGTCTGTATTTGGCTACATAGCTACAGTGAGGGCATTTTAACTTGTTCATGATTAGAGATGATTCACCTATGAGAATTAACAAAAAAACAAAGTGCTTATTATACATTAAATAGAAAACTTGCTATCAAAACTGATTTCTATCCCTGAGAACAGCAATTGACATGGAGCTACTGCTATTTGGCTTTTTAAAAATGCACAATATGCAAGCTTTTAATTGTTAACAGTTATTTAGTAATTCTGTACTTGTTTAGTTGACTGATACTTGCCATTTTCCCAAGTTTCTTGTTTTGGCCAAGATTCTGGCAATAATCCATACTTGAAATCATTTGAAGCACCTGGTATCAATCCATACTTGAAATCATTTGAAGTACCTGGTATCAATCCATACTTGAAATCATTTGAAGGACCAGGCATCAAACCATACTTGAAATCATGTGAAGTACCTAGTACAAGTTAAGAATTCTGAATTAATAATGGTAATAGGTATGTCTCTTCATTAGAGTCAGAAAACTATCCTATGAGCATTTTAACTTCATAATGAGTTAAATAAAACTGTATTTTAGTCTAACATTGAGAAGTCTTCCTACTTTATTATCACAATAAAACAAAATACTATTCAACTATAGAAGAAATTCAGTTAAAAAACAAATCCTGAACCAGGCACAGTGACTCATGTATGTAATCCCAGCACTCTGGGAGGCTAAGGCAGAAGGATCGCTTGAGCCCAGGAGTTTGCAACCAGCCTGGGCAACAATGGAGAGAAACTCCATCTCCATCTATACAAATTTTTTTTTTTTTTAATTAGCTAGATATGGTGGTATGCTCTCTAAGTCCCAGCTACTTGGGACAATCATTTGAGCCCAGCGGTTGCAGTGATTCAAGATCATGCCTGCCCTTTTGCCTGGGTGACATAGTGGCACCCTGACTCAAAAAAAATAAAAAGTGGGGGGAGAGAAAGTAACATGAATATCATTTAATCATGTAGATGCCACAAGAAATTACCCTTTTAAAGGATGGGTATATTCATACCATAACTCCTAAGAGTTGCTTTTTCTGACTATCATTCGAGATTTTATCACCCTGAAGACCAGCTGTCAAATAGGATATTCTCCTTATTACAAACTCAGGATAGGCACATAATTTTAATTGGTTAAGAAAAACAGACTGAGAATAAAGCATACATACAGGATAATTACAAATTTAAAGTTCTATTACTAGATCCTTGTTGTCTTAGACTTATTAGGGCAAGGTAACTGAATGCTTTCAGTATTCGGTAAAATATTCTTTTTTTCTAACTCCATCCTTATATGAAATAATGTGCAGAAAATAGAATGAAAATAGAATAATGGATGTCCCTAAGGATCTTCAGATTAGCAAGGGTAGGAATTATATCCACTGAATTTAACTCCATCTTTAATGTAATTCGTTGGACCAGGAATGTTTTGGCAATAGGAATATATCCAGACTCCTCCACAACTATTGCCACCCTGATCCAATCAATCATGGGCTCTACTCCCTGGACTGTTTTCAGTAGCCACCACCAACTTATCTCCCTGCTCTGTTCTCAGCAGAGAAGTCACAGATTCTTTTAAAACACTACCTTAAGGCAGGTCACCACTCAGCTTACAAGGCTACAAAGACTACCCACCTCAAAGTAAAAGGTGGAAGACCTCCAAAGCCTCACTTGGTGGAACTATGACTTCCGATCACCCTTTCAGTCACTCCATTCCAACCATACTGACCTCTGTGCTAGTCCTCCATGACAAACATGCTTCCAATTCAAAGCATTTATGTTTTTCTCTGCCTGAAACACTCCTTGCCAGGATATATGCATAGTTCACTCAAGCAGCAATAACCCATTTTTCCTCCCGTGGGCATAATGGTTTTAAAGGTAAAAGAATGTTTACCCAAATGGATTTCCTAAGAATCATTTCACATACATGTTCCCAGACAAGTTGTTCCTCTTAAAAATTAAGAGGACTTAAGAGTCCTGCCAGGCGCGGTGGCTCACACCTGTAATCCCTGCACTTTGGGAGGCCGAGGGTGGCAGATCACAAGGTCAAAAGATTGAGACCATCCTGGCCAACATGGTGATACTCCATCTCTACTAAAAATACAAAAATTACCTGGGCATGGTGTTGCACGCCTGTTGTCCCAGCTACTGGGGAGGTTGAAGCAGAAGAATCGCTTGAACCCGTGAGGCAGAGTTTGCAGCGAGCACAGATCACACCACTGCACTCCAGCCTGGTGACAGAGCAAGACTCCGTCTCACAAAGATTCTGGCTGGTCTGATGGTAGTGGGTTATCAGAACTTATTAACATTAGTGTCACTAAATTTGGTATACAACCCCCCACTGCTAAATTCGACTGGCTTTTAAAAAATTTATTAAAAAAAAAAAAAGAAAAGAAACAGGTTGGCAGTTCCTCAAAGGTTAAGCACAGAGTTCCATTTGACCCAATAATTCTACTCCTACATAGGGGTGGGTTCGTGTTTTATAACAGAAATGAAAACGTATGTAAAAACTTGTACACAAATGCTCACAGCAGCATTATTCANAAAAAAAAAAAAAAAAAAAAAAGATTCCTTTTTGGTGAAAGTCTTAATACCCAACAAAGTAAAAATGCCTCTAAAGTATTTTAAAACTGTCCATCAGAGGCTGGGCGCGGTGGCTCACGCCTGTAATCCTAGCAACAAGGTGGGTGGATTACCTGAGGTTGGGAGTTTGAGACCAGTCTGACAAATATGGAGAAATCATCTCTACTACAAAAAAATACAAAATTAGTTGGGCATGGTGGCACATGCCTGTAATCCTAGCTCCTTGGGAGGCTGAGGCAGGAAAATGGCTTGAGCCCGAGAGGCAGAGGCTGGGGTGAGCCAAGATGGTGCCATTGTACTCCACTCCAGCCTGGGCAACAAGAGCGAAACTCCATTTTTTAAAAAAGCATATCATTATTATTACCGTAAATGGTATTGTACTTGGAATACATTCACCACTTTGATGTAAAGAAGGCCTCCTGAACCCATAGTAACATGTAATTCAACTACAGCTCATTATAGTTGCACCTAATTAGTGTTTGGGAGTAAGTACTAAGAATCCTAAATTTCTGTGTGTGGGATAAAGAATGGGATGGAGGTGGTAGCCTGTGGAGGTCAACCTACTTTTAGTTTCACAATTCTAAATAAAGTTTCAATTTTATGATTCATATTTCTTGTCTCAATCAGTACAAAGCTAAACTCCAAGAGAGCAAGAACTGTGCTTATCTTCCTCGCCTCTGTTTTTCTACTGTCTAAGACATATATGCTGCTCTCCAATTACTTGTGGAATAAATGTTATCTAGAAAATGCCAATATGTACTTCTGACTTGCTCAAAATATTTAGAAAACGAGTATCAAAAGACATGTTAGATGTTCTAATATCTACAATTAAATATTATTCACAATATCTAAGAGTAAGGAAATAGGCCAGGCACAGTGTCTCGTGCCTATCATCCCAGTACTTTTAGAGGCTGAGGTGGGAGGACAGCTTGAGCCCATGAGGTTCAGACTAGCCTGGGTGTCACAGCGAGGCCCCATTTCAACAGAAAAAGGAAACAGAATATCCCTAAAACAATTCATAAACTGAAAATCCAAGATTCAACATCCATCATTCCAAAGAATGAATGGATAGAATTCATTCCTTGGTATTCATTCCACTCTATCGAGAATACAAAATGGTAATTCAAATTAAATAAACCTTGCCCCAAATTTCACCTCTCCTAATTATTTTAACAGAGAATACTTGTAAGAATTACAAGAGTAATTCTTACTCTTGAATAAAGGTACTATCGTTGTAACGCAATACACTTAAGAATTGTTAAGGTCATTATAGATCTACTTCAAAATGGAGCTTACTGATTGATCAGTAATATCCTTCTTGGGTACATTATTCCCTAATAGCAAACTAAGGAAAAAGCAATATAGGTTTTTAACATCAAAGTCATAAAGCAAAGGCTGAACTCAGATGCAAAATACTAATGGATAAAAATGTCCCCTTTAAGAGGAATAACTCTCTATCAAAGGTTTACAGGTTTAAATTTTTACATATTAATTCACACACCCCTAATTAAACCCATTCTTGGACTAGATTTCTAAACCAAGAAAGCAAGTACATCAGCAATTTTCTGTGCAAGCAAAAATCTTTAAAACTCAGGCCAGGAGCGGTGGCTCATGCCTGTAATTTCAGCACTTTGGAGAGGCGGGCGGATCACCCGAGGTCAGGAGTTCAAGACTAGCCTGGCCAACATGGTGAAACCCTGTCTTATTTAAAAAAAATAAATAAAAATAAAATCTTTAAAATTCAACACATCTGACATACAAACTGCTAATTTCGAAACTTATTTTGTAAATTAAACAGTCAGGGGCAAGCATCTTAAGGCAGTTTCTTCAGAAATGGCTTTATTTTGGTCAGTACATACTGAATTCAGAGCCCATGAATACTTTTAAGAAGCGCTTTGTCTCTGTTCTCATCAACTTTGAAAAGAATTCCAGAGCTAATAACACTGAAACAATCAATAAATATCCGTATCTATCTTCAACAAACACTAGTTGTCACCTTTTTATGTACACACATACATGCTTTCTATGCACTATTTGAAAACATGCACGCTCATAACTTCAAGCCTAAATGCATCTTCTAGAAAACACTGGTAGATAACCACAGTACAACTGATTATCACTTAACACATACTATAATTTCCAGCTGTCCCCAAAATGTCCCCTATAAACATGTTTTGATCCCATGATCTCCATGCTGCACTTTACTTGATCTCCTTTATCTAGTCATTCCCCCACTTGCCTATTACCATTAACATTTCAGAGTTGGGACAGGTTTGGTCTACCTGTCGTATACATCCACGTCTGGATTTTCCTTTGTCATCAGACACAGGCTAAACAATTTCTCAAGAATACTGCATAAGAAATGCTGTGTGCCAGGCAGTACATCAAATAAGCCAGCCTTTAATTTTAGTTTGTTCTATTATTAATGATGCTAAGTTTAATCACTTGGTTATGACAATCTTCCTCAGATCTCCTTATTGTAAATTTACCTTTTTCCCCTTTGCAAGTGGAAATCATCTATGGGAATGCTAATTTGAGCCCATGTGAATATGATATTCCCCAACAACTTTTCACCCAATCATAGGAGGACAAGCCCATTAACAGTGGCTTAACATCCACTGATGATTTTGAATTATTTCCTGTGGGGGCTGCGAAATAGGCATTTTTCCAATTCGATAATTTTTCTTAGGCTTGGCATTCTTTCATAAAGAAGGACCTCCTCCCTTTTACTCTATTTTATTCATAAGATATTCGTGGATTCTTTTTCTTTATAGTCATCAAGCTTCCTCCAATATACTGCTCATAACACACAGAACTAATCAACATTTTCTATAACCATTAACCACATCATTATTCTGCATAAAAATTAAAATAAATTCAATCATTATCATAATTACCATTTCCGTTCCATATCTATATATCAGCAGGAAGCCGTAAGACATATTAACTCAATTACTTCTTATATGTAAGAGTTTTTATTTTTTTTTGTTGTTTTTTTTTTT